ATATCTATTAATGTCAGATATAAAGGCTTTTATACAGATAAGATGTTTTTAAGGGGAAGGACAGTCCAAATGGAGAGATGTGCATCTTCCATAGCTTTTGGGATTCTCAGGAGGAGTGCATAGAAGAATAACACCTAACCTTAACATTATAATTCTAAGAAGTCATGGAAAAATTGCTAAGGTGAGTAGGTCACAAGCTCAGAACACATTTTTGGGTCAGTGATCTAGAAAGTATTCTCCAATGAGTTAGGGGTCTTGATAAACGCTAAGTTTTACTTTCAGAGGCTGTGTGTTACTGAATGAAGAGGAAAGTACTTGACCTCTGACTAGAGCACTTTGCAGAATTAAAAAATGGCAATCCTTACAGTGAAGACTTAGGGAACTTGTCATATGCTGTTTCATGTTTAAATTTTGATAACACCTTTTTCTCTACATATGGTTTCTTGGTCATTAGACTCAAATGTTGGAAGCATGGAGAAAGATGAGTGGTTTTGCAACACATTCCCAGCTGCAATTCAAAATGATGCCAACTACTCCAGATGACTATAGCCTATAAATGATACACCAGAAATCAGTGACTAAAACAGTGATTTTTAGACTATGTTGCAGAGAATCTGAGGATCTGAGAAAGTGCCTTGTGTGCTTTCTTGGGGGTGATAGTAGAGGTTAGAGAAGGTTTCAGTCCCTCTACTTCTACTCCAAATATGAAGATTCTACTTTTATATATTGTATATACATGGATTATGTGAAATTTTTTACTTTAAAAAATATTTCAGCCTCTGGTTAAAAAAAGACATTTAGTCAAATGCTGAATGTTTAATTACAGTATTCTTAAGCAAGGCATTGAATCATTGTCACAAAACAGTCCAAATATTTTTCTAACACAGATGGCTCACACTTGGTATGGGGAGTTCTTTTATTGTCTAGAAGTCATTTTGTCCTTTAAGACTTACATAAAAATTAGCTACAAAGTCTATTGCATGTCAGAGATAACAATGTCAATATCTCTGGCAACAATTCACAACACCTACTATTCTCCTTTACCCTTTAGCTCTGGGGTCACATTTCCACTCAATACATGATTTGAGTCTCTATTCCAGATCTTGTATGTGTCTTTACTTTTAAATGCTGAATGTTCCAGTATGTGTTTTAACTTTTAAATGTTCAACACTCTACAAGTGCCTACATTCCAACACACACCACGAACTTCATTCTGTGAATGTTGGCATACTTTACTTGAAGGTATAGGCCAGCAAGAAGGGGAGTTATATCACAGGACACAGTAGTAAAAAGCCTTAGTATTATGTGAAACCCTTCTTCCACAAGCTTTTTCAAATAATAAAATTTCCTCTGTCTTTTCCACCATCAGGAAATGTTCACTTCTTTCAACAGGTCACTTTTCAAGTTCCATATTACATTTCTAAGATATTTTCTGATTTAGTCTCTTCATTATCTTCTCACTTTCTCCCATCCAACAATATCACAGATTAGAAGAATTAGTATCACTAAAAATGATCTTCAAATTTAGTGCAATCCTTTTTAAAATCCCAATGGTATTTTTCACAAAAGTAGAAAAAAATCCTAAAATTCAGATAGAACCACAAAAAATCTTCAAGTAGCTACAACAATTTTGAGCAAATGAACAGAGCTGGAGAAATAGCATTGATTTCAAAATATACCACAAAGTTATAGAAATCAAAACAGCCTAGCACTGCCATGAAACACATATAGACCAATGTAACAGAATAAAGAGCCCAGAAATAGTCCATGCATTTATGGGAAATTAATCTTCAACAAAGTTGTTAAGAACACACATTGAGAAAAGGATAGTCTCTGCAATTAGTAGTAGTAGGAGGAAAACTGAATATCCA